CTTCTTCTTCTTCTTCTTCTTCTTCTTCTTCTTCTTCTTCTTCTTCTTCTTCTTCTTCTTTTTTTCAAAAATGTAGTCTTCTGAGCATGCTCAGGCCACATAATCATTGCAGTTATGTTTTAAAATGATAAATTATAAAAAACAAGCCTGATGATTGAAAACAAGAACTAATAGGATGCCATTTGGCAAATTTCAGATGCTCAATTTGGGATTTCTCCAGTGTAACCTTCATGCACAGTGCTTACAGTTTCGCTAAAATCTCACTCCTGATGTGCTGAAAAAAATATCCAGTTCGAACCATTTAGCGAAGCTGTTAACTTAATATTAAAGAAAGGACTACATGAAACACCAGGTGATGTAATAGCTTGAAATATTGCTTAGTTGTGCACCACTTGTATCTTTTTAGGTGGTGCTGATCATGATCTTGTTGGTCATGATCAGGGAGGGAGTTGGTCCTGTTGGCTGACTCCACTCGAAGGTGTGGCTGGAACCTTTATAACACCATAAAGTCAGCATTATGATTAAATCTATGACATGCTGATATTTAATCATGTTTTTTGTGGCCATAGTTACTACTGACCATGTAGTCATGGTACTCTTGAGCTCAAACACACACATTTGGTGCAGAATGAGACAAATTTTCCCTGGATATGACTTTTAAAATCTCATTAGTTTGTGCAATAAAACCAACCAGTGATACAGAAACTGCATCACTTTCTCACACATTACACTGACCTATGACATGCGATGGCGCGTGAGCTTGATGAGCTCCTACATCATCGACGTTCTCGTTTTGAAAGTGCTTTACTAATTTTTATTTTCCCCACAACTTCGCTGCAGATATAACGTCACTATTGGCTCCTCAGCCAGTATTTTGGGCCCTGAGATTCCAGAGGCAACCAAAGACACCTTACGGCAACATCTCAAGTCTCACAACTTCTGGTCTCTGACAGGTAACACAGATCTATATGCTTTTTTTGTTTTGTTTTGTTTTTTCACTCTTTTGACCTTGTTTTAGATGGGATTTGCCTGTATCTAACATGTTTTGCTTGTTTGGTAACTGTAATGGCACAGCCGATGATGAGGAAGGGAAATGCTGTTTGAAGTGGAGATGGTGTGATGTTTAAATCACATGGTTTGGTTGATATGTGATTTGACTAAATTTTACATGCGTGTTGTTGTTCCTGTGCAGGACTTGAATATGTGATCACCCAGCTCAAGTCTATTGTATTGTCACTGGGCATGATTGACAGGCACCTGAGCGTGGAGCAGGCGGTGTTGCTCTCCAGACTGGAGGAGGAATACCAGGTAGGGAATTGCTGAGTCATATGCTTTTTTTTTTATATTACTTGCATGAGGATTTTTGCCTTTTTCAGTCAGTTTATGTATTGGCTTAACTGAGGAGTTGGACAAAACTGGTTTTGTACCGGATTTGTCATTACGAGAAGCTTCTAAGATTTGTTGTTTTAGCTTTACTGACGCTCTTACATGACACCTACCCTGGCAGTATATAATGTATAAAACGTGAAAGTTTTGCTTGTTTTTTTGCAAATGTCTTGATTAATGATGCTCTTCTGGCCAACACTCTTAACATATTCTCTATTTAATCCTATTAACGTATTTCTTTCTTTCTTTTTCTCCCCCCCCCTTCACAGATTCGACGCTGGGGAAACGTGGAGTGGGCCCATGACTACGACATGTATGAGCTGAGGGCACGGACTGCTGCTGGTGCCCTTTTTGTTCACCTCACATCCGAGAGTTCGACTGTCAAACATAAACTTCTGCAGGACTGAAAAGGATTAGGATCAACTACTGAGAACATCCCCAGCACCTATGTTGTATAAATGTCTCTGCATTCATAAAAAGGCTGCATATTCTGTCTGTTCTGTTTAGCAGTGACAGCTGCTCTGTTGTGATCTGTTATGCAGTCATCTCACTCCAGTAAAACATGCTGGCTCTCCTTTTTGCAGTGTTTACATGTAGCAGCTGCCAAGTGTGACACCCTTCACAGAGTTTCCAGTGGGTTCTCAATCACCCGTGACATTTTGGACAGCGACACATTGCCTCAGACGAATAGTGAAGTTTTTTGTTGTCTCTGTGGCAGTGGAGCAATAATTCTGCATTTGATTTTTTTTTTTTTTTTTTTTTTTTTTTAACTTTCTTTGAGCCACAATGTCACTACTGGAAAGCAGATATGCTCATCTTAACTGCACACTATTCAGTCTGTACTGACTGCACTGTGTGCTGTCTGGCTCTGGCAATACATGTGAAAAATATAAACTTCATTAAATTCTGAATTCTAATTATTTTTTGCTAATGAATTAACTGTTCTGTATGTCACGGTGTTTTTCTTTGCTGGTGAAGTGTAAAACTGAAAATGTAGAGAGAACGCCTTTATTAGTAAAGCTTCTCTGCAAAGAGCAGTCTTCACAGGAATTGTTGTTATTACAGTTGATATAAATCAAGGAATGACATCATGCTTGTGGATATGATTCATATTCTTTTTTTCACAAAACATTTTCCCTTATGTCATATTTATCTGATAATGCACTTTATATAACACTTGTATAGTGATAAAGATAACTAATGACAAATATTTTCTATAGTTAACTAATAATCATCATCATAATAAATTAAAATAAACATATAGATATATTTTTTTAAAAATACCAGGAATGGGTAAAAACGTAAAATAACTATTCAAAGTTCGCATTAACCAACAGAAGAGCTAATGCTACTTCCATAAGATATCAGTTTGGTTTATAAAGGGAATTAAAGGTTCCCTTTATTTACAATCGCCCAACTCTCATAATGGTTGTTCTTGCTGTCCAATCACACTGGAGCATAGGATTTTTTCACCCAATTACGTTGATGCGTAGGCGGGACTTGCTGGACGTTTCCTCAAGTATCATCGTTATCAACCCATGGACTGACTTGTTTGTTGTCGAGCAAGATGGAGTTCATTTTGGGAAATCCTTACACTACGCCAGTGGGACATTGCATTGGTACGCAAATAATTATTTAGGGGAGGACATTGTGGAGAGATGTATGTGTATATCTTAGAAAGGTGTCTATTTTATGTAATAGTCATTTACGGGTTTGCTACCTTTAGCATGCTAATGTCCCTGAATGAGTTCTCTACAGCTGGAAAGCCACCGTTAGCCGCCTAGCTAACTATTACAACATTTGCTGTCACTGTGTAAGCTCTCTCGTTAACAAATTTAATGTGTGCTTTGTGCCATTACGCCATTACCTGTGTCGCACAAGCCGTTTACGTGTGCATCTGTAATAATGACAAGCAGCTAAGTTAGCTAACAGCTAGCCAACAGCCATCGTCATATATTCGGGGCGCAGTTTTTAAGACGTTATTAAGATGATTTCCTTATGTAAGTACGTGTGTGTGTGTGTGTGTGTGTGTGTGTGTGTGTGTGTGAGTGTGTGTGTGTGTGTGTGTTTTTTAGAGAGAGCCACTGATGGATCCCTACAAAGTGAAGACTGGACTCTCAACATGGAAATATGTGACATCATCAATGAAACAGAGGATGGGTGAGTACCTTGTGAAAATCAATGAATAACCACATAGGTGTTGATTAAATTCTGTTTAAACTGTGCACTGGTTTGGTTTTACCGTTTTACCGGCCTGTGATTTTTACATTGTGGAGTGCTGCAAACACGATCAAGTACTTCATCTTTTCCCCTTTTCTCTACCATCGAATCATAAGTGAGCCAGTCTAGCCCTGGCTGCATGAGGAAGATTTATGCGAGGCCTCACTTCTTATCTCTGTGCTTCATTAACCTTGTACAGAGCGTGTGCAACTGGTGTGTGAAGTCCACGTTTGATCAGTGGATTGCACTTAAGATTAGGTGGCTCTAACCTACAGAAGTGTACTGTAATAAGAAGTCTGTTTGTCTTTTGTCTATGAGGAATGCAATGGGTGTAACACATCCACTTATGCAAGGCGTGTTTGCTCTGTTGGAAGTAGAGACAAAGTTAATAATTTACTTCTTTGATGCTGTAGCTGTTCTGCTCTAAGAATTATTGGCTCATGCTTCTGATATTCAACTTTCTAATGTTTGTCACAGTATCTGACATCTTGTCAGTGCCACTGAAAATGGCAGCTAAAGCTTTAATTTATCAGCTTATTAGAAATCATGTGTCCTTCTCTGTGGGACATGTTTTCGTAGTCCATTTAAAAGCACACCAGGCAGGCATGCTATAATGTGGTATTTTTGTGTGTTTAATGTGGGTTTTGACTTGTGTCTGTATGTGTGTATGCAGGCCAAAGGATGCCATTAGAGCAATGAAGAAAAGGCTAAATGGCAATCGGAACTATAGGGAAGTAATGCTGGCTTTAACGGTAAGTTCACATGAGCAGGAGGAGAACAGCTAATGTATGCTTTTTATATAATAAATTAGCATATAATGTTAATATCAGTTTTCCTTATATAACAGTCAAATGAATTGGTCAAAGGTGCTTTGTTTTGGCATTTATTGGTAACATAAATAAAAGTATTATGATTGCATTTATCAGTACTAAGTTGATTGCATAACATAATTTGCATTTGCAGATTTTAGTCCAACACATTATGTCCATTTTGTATCTTGGCTCCAAAACTTCTGAACCTCTCTGTAAGAGGAGCTATTTCAATGATGGCGTCTGTGCATCTGTCAGGTTCTGGAGACGTGCGTGAAGAACTGTGGCCACCGTTTCCATGCTTTAGTGACTAGCAGAGACTTCGTTGATGGCGTGCTTGTTAAAATTATCTCTCCCAAGAACAACCCACCTACCATTGTTCAAGATAAAGTACTCGCCCTGATTCAGGTAAGAACGGCAGAACTGAATGCACAAAGTTTGCATTCTCGTGTATTTGTTTTTTTTCCCCTGTTTTTATGACAATATATAACTTCCAGAGAGAGTGCACAGTGTATGTGGAGCTCTGCACAAAGGGAAAGTAGCATGTGTATATATGGGGGAGGACCAAATTATGTTTAACCTTGTTTAAATATTGCATTTTAATAAGATGACCTAGTAAATTCCCAACAAATATTGAGATTCACCTCAGCTGTGTTATATATGTAGACGCTATGTGGTAGAAACCCTTAAAGAAAACTAAATGAGCATCAAATTATTATTTAAAACATCTGTATCATAAGGGCCCAAAATTTCACAAACCACGCATCCTTAATATATTTGCTTCTGCAACGGTGTACGTCACTGTGAGAGACCTAATCATTTGTGACTCAGTCGGTTTGTGGATTTTGTTGCGACTGTGGTGGCTGCCCAGGTGGTCTTTCATCCCCAGGCACAGTCTCAAGTAAGGCACACTGTCTCCAGGGCTTCAGCCAGTAGCAGCTCTAGTTACCTGTCAGAGCTCAGATAACCCAGCAAGGTTTGTGTGTGTTGCTGTTATTTCCATCAGGGATGTTGTATGACCACAGCTTACAGCATGGAGGAGGAGCACGAGCATACAGTAGTTGTGAGAGAGAAGCTTGATGATTTCCTTTTTTTTGTTTTTTTTTTTGTTTTTTTGTTTATTTAGTAGTCAGAGAAACCAGTTTATGACTTGAAGGTCAACTGGGAAAAATGCATGGGAAACATTTATAGCGTAACACTCCCTTCATGCAGCAGCTGGAGTGTTGTTGACATTTTCATTAGTAAGAGAGGTAAAACCCAGCTGGGCAGCAGACTGTGGTTATGCTGGTGCAGCTCCCTAACCACCTGTTTCATCTCTCAGGGATGAATGTGTGCACTTTGGAGTTGATAAAAGTTGGCAAGTGTGGACATTTCATAGCTTTTACAAGTTTAAAGTCAAAAGCTCTATGATTATTTTGGTAACCTGCATTTCTTTCGGGCTGTTGTGTTGTCTTGTATTTAAGATGTTGTAATGGCTTGAGCCCAATTTACCCTCTCGTAAGAGCGAAGCCGAACGCTTTGTAGTTTGTTCGCCGAATGTATTCAGGGAAGACAAACAAATATCATCAGAGAACAGACTCCTTTTACTGTCTGCGCATCATTTGCTTTGTTTGCCTTTTCAGCCTTCCCTTTTATCCATTGTTTAAATTTCTTTTTTTTTCAGTCTGTCACGCTCATTTTCTCTTTTCTTTTAACTCTTTTTACTCTGTTATCTTTATCCAGGCGTGGGCCGATGCATTCAGGAGCAGTCCTGACCTCACGGGTGTGGTTCAAATCTACGAGGAGCTAAAGAGAAAAGGCATCGAGTTCCCAACGTCAGAGCTGGAGACGCTGTCACCTATACATACACCTCAGCGTGTAGGAGAGCTCATGCTTGGCAGCCTAGTTTGCTAAAGTTTCTTTGCCAGAACTATTTGGTGTGATTACGTTCCCAGGTAACATGTTGCCTAATGATATGTTTGTTATCACCTTCTCTGTTGTTTCTAGTCAGCCACTGCTCCGGAGGGTGACTCTACCTTACACAAGCACAGCAGCACTACTCAGCCCACACAACACTCTGTGCCACCAGTCTACACCACCCCTCAAGTCCCCAACATTCATGCCTCCGGAGCCATTAATCCCACACCTGAACAGGTACAGTGGTAATCCTATGACCACATTTTCTACAACCGTCCTACAAAACAACGATATTCTACGGTTTTCCTTTTAATATCTGCTCTCAAGTGTACGCCATGAAGATTCCAAGAATCTGCCCAACTAACGATCTTTCTGTAATTTTGAATTGCCTCACCTCCAGTTTTCAAGGTCATCTTCTTATACACCTCTGGACTGGTTTCAGTGCAGGTGATAAATATAGATTACTTCCTAGAAGTCCTTTTGTGTCCCTTTGACTTTAAGCCTCTGCTGTGTCACAGTGGTCATCCTTAAACTTGATTGTCAATCACATGGAGGTATATCTGGTGAGTGATGAGTCATGAGTATGTGTGTATCCAAAGGTCCCCCCACCCAACTTGAAAGCACATTCACCATCATTGCTGTTCAGCCTGTTTCAGCTGAAGGTTACTATGCAAGGAATTCCCAGTTTACAATCTAATGAATGTCAGAAAAACAAGCACGTGTGCTGCCCTTCAAATGAAAACCACTCACTCTTGAAACAGAGGTTGGTGTTTGCTTTCAAAGCCCAAGAGTGAACAGTGGAAGCAGAGTGCAGAAAGCAGTCCAAAGGTGCACAA